TTTTTGTAAAAAAAAAAATAGGTTCTTAATAAGAAAAGTTTCTTACAAAGAAAAAAAATGTGTATACTTAAAAAAAAGATGGTTATATTAAAAGACTTCTTGTAGGATGCTTGTAATATTTAAAATATTTTTATAAAAGAACCTTCTTTACGATCTCTGGTGAGAAAAAGTTATTTTGATAATCAAAACGCATACTATGCACAATAAGAATTGTATTTGGCTATATCGATGTCATATATGCATTGATTTGGTTCGACCCAAAGGTTTACCACCGTAGGTCAGCGTTCAATGATTGCACCCTGCTTTAAACGACCCCTATAATTGGTACTGCGCCATAATACCCATGCCTACCTTATATAGTAAAATTTCGCAAGTGGTTTTTTTTTAAAAAAAAGGTGGTTTCATAAATAAAATTTTGAGTTAGAAGATATTTTTTAATAAAAAAGCAAAACTAACAAAAATTTTATGTTACACCTGATCTTTACATTACACTGCATTTAAAAAATTTGATTGGTGAAAATCATTGTAGTGTTGAGCACCAGTGGTGTGATTTAGTAAAACTGATAATAAATTTATAATTTTTGTCAAAAATAATTTGCAACTTTGGCCGGAATTATAAAATTTTGGCCGGAATTACACCTGATACTTCATCAGACCCACCCACCCATCCAGAAATCAGCTGATTTCTAGAAGCTCCCTTAGTAGCTTGAACATTTATAGCATATTCAGATCAGAATCCCTAAATAAAGAATTAGATTATAACAGTAACAGAAAAAATGTTGGTAGGGTCTACTTGTCCTTTGAGATGTTTAAATCAACTAATATAAGTATCAACTATATTCATATTTTGTTTAATTTCAAACATATGGGCCAATTTGAGTAATTTATAAGTAGTACTTGTTTTTTTTTAAACTTTAAAGTCAAAATAACTTTTGATCTAGTAGTCTGTTTTAAATGATTTTACTACCAAAATGTTCGTCTCTTTAACCAATTTCAACAAGTCTGAAATCATTAAAATCCAATTACAGAAACATGAGAAAATGCACTGTCAAATAGGTGATGCACTTTTAGAGTTAGACAATTGGTTAGACCTAGATCTAATCAATTGTCCAATCCTAAAGGTGCATTACCTATTTGATAGCGCATTTTCTCGTATTCCTGTGATTGGATTTTAATGATTTTGGACTTGTTGGAATTGTCTCAAAGAGACAAACATTTTGGTAGTAAAATCATTTAAAACAGACCAGTAGATCAAAAGTCATTTAGCTTTAAAGTTTAAAAAAAATAAGCACTACTTATGAATTACCCAAATTGGCCCATATGATAACTGCTTTTGCCAAGTAGCTTTTTGTTTAGTTGTGCTACACTTTTTTCTAAAAAGATAAGTGAAACTATAGACATTGTCGCTATTAACTTCTTGACCATGAAGTCAATAATAAAAGTAGATTAGTGCATATTTGAGACTTGCAAGCTATTTTTGGACATTATTCTTCATATAAATACAGGCAAGTTCTAATTGTTGAGTGGGGCTTCAATAGTTAGTTAGCCTTAGCAGCTCTCTCAAATTTTTCAAGCCAGGTTACAGGGTTCTAGGTTCTGTTTTCTTGATAAAAATTAATTTTAATAAAAGATTTTTTACTATCACGTTCAAGAGCATTGGCAAGAGTAATTATAGCTTCTGCAATGGCAGTTAAAGCTTTCTTAGCTATATTTTTTTCAGGTTTTTTTCTTCTATAGTTTCTTCTATTTCTGGTTCTGAATATACTTCTTCTTCTGGTTCTTTGACTTGATAATTTATTTTTTTCGTATTTTTCTAATTTTTTTAATACATTATCTAAATTTATTTCTTCTGAATTTTCTTTTATTAATTTTATTTCTTCTTCACAAGCTACTAGTAGTACCATATATTCTCGAAAATAAGCTACCTATTTTTGCACGATTTTGAGCTAAAAAAATTAGGAGTAGCTTATTTTTAGTATATAGACATTTTTGAAAAAATTAAAAAACGTACTAATAAAAAGTTGTCCAAATGACACCAAATTTTTACTATAAGTGTATTTTGATGCGCTGAACAACTTTACTTAATCAAACTTTTTAAGTTTATTTAGTAAAAAAAAGTTTTATATGTAGCAACTGCCAACACATTTTTTTGATTTTTGAAAAAAATCAGGAGATAGCTTATTTTCAAAATAGCTTATTTTTGGAAATATATGGTAATACGAGTTAATTTCGGCCCAATAGCTAGGTTAATAAGTGGGTCAACCCTCTGCCTGCACCTTTGTAGACTGGGCCGGTTGATAAGAAAAGTATTAGAATTATTTCTCTTTTAAACATATTTTCAGCCTAGAAATTGAATAAAAATCAGCTAGTCATTTATAATAATATAAGAGAAGTTGGCTTATTTAGGCAATAAATTGGCAAATAGCAAATAATATAAAGATCAGAAATGTTCAGTAGTATAGACAATCAATTAACATAAAATACTAACATGCTAGAAGTTTTTTAAAGACAAAAAGAATAATGTTTAATATCACAAGAGTTTGACAAGAAACTACCTGATGGCCTTTTTATATTTAATATTAATATATTAATTGATTTTGCTTAGAAAAAAATTATACTATCAAAAGATCAGCCCAGTTGATCGGTCTGAGCTTTTTTAGGATCAACCCAGTTTACAATTTTTCATCAACTTGTATTACTAGCTACAAAACCCTGGACATTTAGTACAGAGCTCATACATTACATATTTTAGCAAAAACTCCTGAAATTTGAGAAGCAAAAAAACTGTTTTTGTCAATTAACTTGACATTCAGTTGTTCAATTTGAATGAACATTTTTTAAGAGTAGGATATACAAATTTCCAATTTTATATAAAATTGATTGTAGATTAACTTTGTGTAACCAATTTATATGATGTCATATGATTTACATGTAAACATCATATGATCTGACCAATCAATTCTTTGTACAACCTACAAAAATCATATAGCGTCCTACAAAAATTTAATTATATATAAAGTTGATTTTTTTTAAAGCAATGAATATTGCACAACTTCATTATTATAAACTAACTATTGTATAAATTTTATACAAATTGGTCAAAATCTTAAAAAACTTTATCAGAAACATTTTTTTATTTACTATATAAAAATCTAATATACCATGTAGATCATATGAAAAATGATCTACATTCATTCTACCCTTAAAATGAAGCTATTAGTGAGACACATTTAACAAAAAAAAGTTCATTCAATTCTGATTACTAGATCAGAAGTTATTTAAATAAATATAGTTTTGTTGTTTTTAGCAAATTAGGTCAAAATTGGCCAAAATCTAGTTATGATCTCTATAAGAGATATCTGGGATTTTCTAGCTACTGGTTCAACAATTACTTGGTTTGGGTAGGCTTCAATAAGTTGAGACTGAGTGAACTCTGATTGGAAAATAAGAGTTTGGTGTTGAAATTAAAAAGAAAAAGTATATATAGGAGTAGTACAGATATTAAATTAACTACAGGTAGTGGAGATGAAGTTTGGTTGAATATGAAAAAGAGTTGATATTTTGAAAAAATTGTAAAAGCAAGTTTGGATAAAGTATTATAGCAGAAAAGTAAATTATTTAAAAGGATTTCAACAATTAGGAAAGTAGGTAGTTGAAGTAGAAAAGGGAATTAAATATGGGTAGTATTTTTATTATAAAGGGGTAAGATAAAAGAATAGAAAGGTCCAGCTAAATAGGACTCCGAGCTATTAGTATATAGGTCAGTGAACTAGATGTGTAGCCAACTTAATAACTTTTTTGGATGTAAGATCTTAGATTGCTTAGAAATCAACAAAATTTTAAAAAAAGTTAGATATTCTATTTGCATATTTTTTAACTAAATTTAAAACAGTTAAAGATTGCAAATACTTATTTTTGGTACCGATAGGGCATGGTTTACTACTGTAGATTCCTAAAAATAAGCTATCTTTTTTTAGATTTAAAAAATCAGAAGTTTATTTTAAAGTATTATAAGGGATTTGTACACAGTAAAGGGGTAGCTTATTTTAGAGATATAAATCCTAAAAAGGTTTATTTATCTCAATATTTACTTTTAAAATTTATTTCACGTACTAATACGCATTCCGATGTAAATAAATACAAACAAATACCTTTTTTATTATTATAATAATAATATAAATTAATTTTAAATTTTAAAAGCTATTGTAAGAGATCTAATAATCCAAATTTAACGATTTTGGTACCATTCGAATCGTCTCTTCGAGACGAATCAAATGGTACCAAAATCATTAAATTTAGATCACATAGCACAAGATATTAATATTTTATAATTTTTATAAAATCTTAACGATCTTGATAACCAGTGATCCAAATTTGATGATTTTGGTACCATATGATTCGTCTCGATGAGACGGTTCTAATAGTACCAATATCATCAAAATTGGATCACTAGATCACAAGATATCTACGAAAAACTTTTGTAACACAATTTATATAAAAATTGTTATACTGTATAAAATTACGTTACAACTGTTTTCGTAGATATCTTGTGATCTAGTAATCCAATTTTGATGATTTTGGTACCATTAGAACCGTCTCATCGAGACGAATCGAATGGTACCAAAATCGTCAAATTTGGGTTACTGTAGTACAAGATATTAATAATTTTATAATTTTTATAAAACCTTAACGATCTTGATAACTAGTAATCCAAAATTGATGATTTTGGTACCATTCGATTCGCCTCGATGAGACGGTTCTAATAGTACCAAAATCATCAAAATCGAATCACTAGATCACAAGATATCCACGAAAACATTTTGTAACATAATTTTATACAGTATAACAATCTTTATATAGATTGCGTTACAAAAGTTTTTTGTAGATATCTTGTGATCTAGTGATCCTATTTTGATGATTTGGTACCATTAGAACCGTCTCATCGAGACGAATCGAATGGTACCAAAATCATTAAATTTAGATTACTGTAGCAGACCCTGGGTCGGATAGCATAGTGGTTAGCGCTCCGGTGTCGCATTCGCAAGGTCGCTGGTTCGAGTCCAGTGAATAACAAAAACTGCGCTAGGATCACGAATGGTAAGGATCTTTGATGAGGAATTGCACTTCTTCCCCATTTACGGAAAAGGTACTACAACGACAAGAGTTGCGTGACATAGCCACTAAGGTCATGCGGCGTCCAGAAAAGGAAAAAAATCTGACAAGAAACGTCGTAAACATAAGGATTATCTACTATAAAAGGAAAAAGAGAATGAATATAAGAAACAGAGAAAAGAGCACCTGATGACACTACACTAACCAAATATGGAAAGTAGCTCCCGGGGTAGATGAAAAACGGCCGACCGATATAGCGTATTGGCGGAATATGTAGTTCCTTAAAGTTGTCTAAGATCTGAGAGGTACGGGGCACCGGACGTGGTGAACCTGCTGGAGTCGGCTGGTAAAACGGACGACAGGAGGGAGGTATAGTTTAGCTAGGAAACCCCTAATGTAAAATGTAATAATAATGAAATTGATCTTAATAAAGTATACCACTGAGCATCTCCGTAGAGAGTTTTAAAAATCAAAAAAAAAAATTTACTGTAGCACAAGATATTAATAATTTTTATAATTTTTATAAAATCTTAATGGTTTTGATAACCAGTAATCCAAATTTGATGATTTTGGTACCATTCGATTCGTCTCGACGAGACGGTTCTAATGGTACCAAAATCATCAAAATTGGATCACTAGATCACAAGATATCTACGAAAACGTTTTGTAATATAATTTAATATACAGTATAACAATCTTTATATAAATTGCGTTACAAACGTTTTTCATAGATATCTTGTGATCAAGTGATCTGATTTTGATGATTTTGGTACTATTAGAACTATCTTATCGAGACGAATCAATGGTATCAAAATCATCAAATTTGGATCACTGGTTATCAAGATCGTTAAGATTTTATAAAAATTATAAAATTATTAATATCTTGTGCTACAGTAATCTAAATTTAACGATTTTGGTACCATTCGATTCGTCTCGATGAGACGAATCGAATGGTACCAAAATCATCAAATTTGGATCACTGGTTATCAAGATCGTTAAGATTTTATAAAAATTATAAAATTATTAATATCTTGTGCTACAGTAATCTAAATTTAACGATTTTGGTGCCATTCGATCCGTCTCGATGAGACAATTCAAATGGTACCAAAATCGTTAAATTTGGATTATTAGATCTCTTACAATAGTTCTTCAAATATTTAATTAAATGCTATATAAAGGGTAGCTTATTTTTAAAGTTAAAAAGTTTATTATTGTTTTTAATTTAAAAATATAGGATGGGTTATAGAGATTTTTAAGTTTTTTGTTTAAAATTAAAAAAGTAACTTATTTTTAGAGTAACATATTTTCAAAAATATTTTATTATAAGTCAGATAATATGTTTGCTTATTTTTAATAAATTTTTATATGTCATATAGTAAAAATGCTTATTAATATTAATAAAAATGCTTGCTTAGAGCTATTATAAAAATTTTAAAATTTTTTGTGACCTATATACTAATAGCTCGGGGTCCTAGCTAGATCATCTAGTAATATCTAGGGGTTAGTAAAATAAATGAAGGGACAACTTACTATAATATATAGTCAATAAAAATGATGTACAATGATTTTGTATAACAATTACATAACATATAATAAAAATGTTTATAATGCTATATCAAAAAACCTTTGGCTATATTGATTACTCACTGATTTAAGACATGTTACTGTCACATTCAATTTCTGTTGTTTGGTAAATTTGTATAAAGATTAGGCAGGTTTTGTTATTGAAATTGTCAAATACTAAATTCTAATTTATTAACTGATTTATATTTGTTTTAAACCTCTGGCAAACTATATTTATTTTACACGTTATATAACAATATCACTTTAAAAAACAACAACTAGTAATTAATTTTGATATTTAACTGAAACACATATAATATAATGAGAATTCTTTAAACTTTAATACATTAATTTTTTAGGCGTATTATGAAATTTGTTTTAGAAAAAGAAAAAGCAAGTTATAAGAGCAAGCTTTTATCAGAAAATTTTGAAACTCAATTATATTCAGTTACAAGCAGTTACCGTAGTTGATTTTGATTTGATTAGTTTCAACCGATTATTATTGCTTGTAGTGCTAGTAATCATTTATATCAATTGATAATAATCAATTATATCGATTATAATAAACATATCCAAAAATCGATTAAAATCGATTAGTAACCAACTATAATCAATAGTGGTGATAAGAATTACCTTTAGATTTTAATCATATTTGTAAAAATTTTCAATTTTAAAAAATTTTTATAAATAGTTAATTATATAAAATTACTATAATTGATAATCTATCTGTCAACTGGAGAATAGCAAAATGCGCTGTACTTCTATTTAAAAGTTTTTTTCTAAGTTAACGATACATACCCACTAATTGAAAGTTGTAGAGCTCATTGATACGTATCTAACAGTGGCTAGATCATTCAAGTCAGCCCAGTGAATGGCGAGATATCGTCGAAAAAGATTGGCTGATTATATAAAAATCTGTGACAGAAATTACATATGAAAATCACTACAGACGAAATGTAGCGTGCTTCTATCTGAAACTTTTTTTCTTACTAAGTTAACAATACATGCCCACTAATTGAAAGTTGTAAAGCTCGTCGAGACACATCTAATAGTGGTTATATTATCCAAATCGATCCAGTGGATGGCGAGATATCGTCAAAAAAATGGCCCAATTGGGCTACCTGTTTCTATCCCTAATAGTCAGCCAATCATTTTTTAACGATATCTCGCCATCCACTGGGCTGATTTGGATGATCTAACCACCGTTAGATGCACCTCAGTGAGCTCTACAACTTCAATTAGTGGGCATATATCGTTAACTTAGTAAAAAAAAGTTTTAGATGGAAGCACGCCACATTTCGCCTGTAGTGATTTTTATAAGTAATTTTCGGCACAGATTTTTATATAGTTAGCCAATTGTTTTTCAACGATATCTCGCCATCCACTGGGCTGATTTGGATGATTTAACTACTGTTAGATGCGTCTCGACGAGCTCTACAACTTTCAATTAGTGAACATGTATCGTTAACTTAGTAAGAAAAAAACTTTAGATGAAAGCACGCCACATTTTGCCATTCTTCAGTTGATAGGCAGATTATCAAATAAATTACTGTACATTTTTTTAAAAAAATTTTATTTAAAATAAAAAAAATTAAATCATAAATATGCATAGCGGGCTCGATGATTCAATACTAAGTTCATTTGACTATAATTTGAGTCTTGGCATGCTCTTAATATAAGTTAGATCTACAAGTCCTTTGTCTTGCCATTCGAACTATTAAAAAAGTTTGAATTAAATTTCATTTATTGATAAGCAAACACCTCAAATTGGCTTAGCTTTACTTTACTAGCAATCATTCACTAACAGCTCATTTAGCCAACATTATGCCAAAGTAAAAATACATACTTGCAACTAATCAAATATTAATCCTAACCCTATAATATTAACTAAATAAGCTGTTAGTAAAATAATTGCTAGTAAAATGAGCAGCACCGTCTTAACTTTAGCCTTACTTTAACCTTGGCCTTAGCTTCTTCTTGATCATAAACAAGTGCCTTATATTAGGACCCCAGACATCTTTCATATAGGTTATAACTGGATTTTGACAATTTGCTAAAAATAACAAAATATATTTGTTTAAATAACTTTTGTTCTAGTAATCAGAATTGAATGAACTTTTTTTTTTAGATGCGCCTCACTAAGAGCTTTATTTTAAAAAATAGTTTGTTCAAATTGGTCTACTGGATGCCAAGATAATTGGCAAAAACTGTTTTTTGCTTTTTAAAATTTAGGGTTTTTGCTGAAAAAAACAAGTATGATCTTTATACTAGATGTCCGAGGTCCTCTTATATTAATCCTTTTAAACTTCTTTGGTGAATGCTTTATATTTATCTTTTTCAACTACAGAATCATAAATGAAGACCTCCCAAATCATAAGTAAATACCTTATATTTATTCCTTTTAGTACCTTCCAAATCCAAGATGATTCATTCTAAGATTAACAATTAAGTAGTTTTATACAGTGCCTTTTTTAATATTTTTTTGATCCAAGTACATATCTATGCTAACATTTTAATCTAGGCCATGTTATGAAAAGTATATAATTCAATTTTTAAAAACACAAAGACTAGTATCAAGCTTTTATGAAACTAGTTACTAGATTTAAATCATTCTGAATTTTAGAAAAAAATCTATATTCAAATAGCTGGAATTTTTATTATTAAAATTTTTGAAGATTGGGATGTGATTATATAAATTTGTATATAAAAATTTATATAAATCTATATCATACCGGTTTTGGAGATCGATTATCTACTTGTATAATATTAAGTTGTCTTTTGTTTATTTTACTAACCCCTAGATAATATAGTATATATAGATTGTAGAACAGAAGTAGGATTAAATATAAAATTATTGTTATTGTAGTTCTGGTGATATAAGATAGATAAAGGGTTTGTTGAAGGTATTAGCTATTTATGCTAGTTGGATAGGAGTAGACAAAGTAGGGTCTATAATGTATAAATTAAAAGCATTTTCTTCAAAGCTAAGAGGTAAAGTAGGTCGAAGTGTAAATAAGTATATCCTCAAAGGAGAGCAGCAATAATTTCAGTAAGGTTAAAGTGAGAATTATAATATCAATAGCTAAAAACAATATCTCTAGTAGCAGCTCTAGTGTTGTTAGAATTACTATATTCATGGAGAATATAAAAAGCTGCAATAGTCTATTGGGTATAGATAATAGCAAGATATACAGTTTGGTATCGATTCCAAAAAGTGCGAAAAGCTCAAAAATAGTAAACACAAGGATGGCAAATAGTATAAGATAGACCAGAATTAATAATTTGTTGAACTTCTACGGCAAAATTAGAGGAATATCTAGTATCATGTGCTTCAATTTGTTCTAAATAGATTTGGTAAGCTTTATTCATATAGAGATTTAAAAAGTTGGTTAATAAAT